TAGGCCAGGAGCTGATTGTGGAACAGACCACCAACTACTCATATGCAAATTCAAGCTGAAGCTGAGGAAAATTAAACCAAATCCAAGGCAACCAAAACATGACTTTGAGTCTATCCCTGATCTGACAGAGTATGGAAATTATTTAATTGTATCACTATTGTCACACACAAGCAAAATTCTGCTGACGATTATCCAAAACTGACTGGAACAGTACATCAACAGAGAACTACCAGAAATACAGGCTGGTTATAGTAGAGGTGCGATTAGGAACATCATTGCCAATGTCAGATGGATATTTACTGAAATATGAGAGTACCAGAAAATGTCTATGTGCGTTTCATTGGCTAAGCAAAGGCATTTGCCTGAGTGAATCACAACAAATTATAGCTAACTTGGAGATGAGTGGGGAACCCAGAACACTTGATTGTGCTCATGCAAAACCTATATTTGGACCAAGAGGCAGTCGTTAGAACAAAGCAAGGAAACACTGCATGATCAAAATCAGGAGAGAAGTGTGTCCGAGATGCAACCTGGCATGCTGTCTCTCTATACCTTTTCAATTTGTGTATGACACAGATCATTCAGGAGAGTGGTCTTTATGAGGAGGTATGTGGCATGAGAATTGGAGGAAGATTCATCAACAACTTGAGTTATCCAGATGACACAGCCTTGTTCACAGAAACTGAGGAAGAACTGAAGCATCTTCTGTACAAAGTCAAACACTGCTCTCTCCAATATGGATTGAAGCTCAACATCAAGAAAATAAAGATTCTCACCACTGGGTAGCACCATGATAGATGGAGAAGAGAATGAGATTGTCAACAGTTTCCGCTAGCTTGGGTTCACAACCAACACTCTTGGTACCAGCAAGAAAATCAAAAGACTAATTGGATTAGGAAAGTCTGCTGTCAGGGACTTCTCCAGAGTGCTGAAGTGTTAAGATGTCAGTCTACCAAGTCTACAATAAGGGTGTCTGGTTGAGTCATGGTCATCACAATTACTTGCTATGCATCAGAGATCTGGATAATGACTAAGAATAACAGAAGAAGAAGAATTGATACCCTTGAGTTATGAGGCTGGAAAAGAGTACTGAACATACCATGGACTACCAAGAAAACAAGCAGGTCTGGCTTGGATAGGGGAAAACCAACTTGCTCTCTGGAGGCAAGGATTTTTGAAGCTCCGTCTCATATACTCTGGGCCTGGAGGGACCAGTCCTTGGAGAAGGACATCATGCTTGGAAGGATGAAGGGACTGTGCAGGAGATGAACACCCTGGATGAGATGGATTGACACAATGACTGGGGTATTAGGACAGGTGTATCAGATACAATGAGGTTGGCTCAGGATAGGATGGAGTTCAGAGCTATTGTGCATTGGGTCACTTTGAGTCACAGGCGACTCGACGACACATAACAACAACAACAACAACAGAGATCCAGAGACAATCTCTGCTGCTTTCCTGAAACTGGAATGTCATGCCTCACTTTTTTTTTTCTATAGAAATTTAGAGGCACTGATAATAAAACTTTGAAACCATCTCTTTTCATATTAAATATTAAAAAGTACAGATGCTTATTGGCTCGAGTTGTGAAAAGTGAAAGCATTATTTTATGCCTTTGCTTTGATAATTTATTTCACTTAACTGCCATCTTAAGGGAGCACTGGTGGTAGAGTAGAGAGTTGGGCTGCAAACCCAAAAGTGTCTGATGGTTTGAATCGATGGGAGAAAGATAGGCAATCTCTTCCAATGTGCTTTATAGCCTTGGGAATCTGTTGGAGGCTCAGCTATAAATTGGTTTTGACTTGATCACAATTGAGTTTTGAGTTTCTGAGCAGCCATCTTGGTGTCAGTAACCAACACTTCCCCAGAATAAAAACTTCCTGTGCTCTTTCATTAGAATTCCAAAAAGGTAGCTGAGAAAAGGGTGGAAGTGTTTGACAAAAAAGAAATAACTTTCCAAATGTCTGATCTACAGTCAGATTTGGCACAAATTCTTCCATTTACGTAGAAGTTAGCACAGTGCCTTTCAGAAAACAAAACGAAACAAAACACCAAAACATGCTTTCTGGTCAAATTTAAGTTCCTCCAACATCTGTGACAACACAGAGGACTTGAATTTCCAATGTGATTAGAGACTTGAGCCTCCCATGATTGTAGCTATTCCACAGAGGCTGGGCAGTTTAGCCTCATTTCAGACCCCATGATATTAAGCTGAGGCTTTTGCTGATTGTTTTTCCTCAGTTGTATTTAAGTCAGAAACAGGAGCTGGGCTGAGCGTTAGTGCAGGGGATGCTGGTGAACCCCTCAGTAAGGGCCTGGAAAAGGCAGAGAAAACATGGTGTAGGTTCACTCTGTTTCTGACGTGCTGCCCCTAACCATTGCCAGTTAAAGTTCATTGCAGCAAAATAGCACAGTGCACTCTCATCAGGAAATGTTCAAGGTCCTGCCAGAGTTTGCGGAATTGAAGCTTCATGAATGTAATTCAAATTGTAGAATAAAGAGCTTCCAAGGTTTTCCCCGTTGGAGAGTTCATGAAAAATCTACTCCATCTTCCATGAATCCAAGAAAAGTGCCTTCCTTATTTCTAGGTGGTGGAGCATAAGTTCTCTGGAGTTTCCTAGGTTTTTATCTTCACAGAAGTAAATAGGAAGAAGGTCCTTCTCCAAAAGAGCTTCTAGGTGGTTTCAAACTGTCAACCTCCTGGTTAGTTTTTTTATTACTTAATTTTTGTATCACTGGAGTTTTTGTTTATGGTGAGTAAAATAAGATCTATTAGGTTTAATCAAGATCCTAAATGAGCCTTGTGCCAAAAGTTCAGGAAAATTGCTTTCTCCTGAAATAATATGAGTGTTGTATAAGAAATAGGAATATATGAGTTAAGTTTAAGAGGAAGAAAATATTTTGAGCATCAGAGATAAGGTAAAGATGAGGAGGGTACGTGTATTAGTTTCCTATCATTAAAGTAATCATTGATTACGTACACGGTAGTTTAACATAACAGAGATGTATTCTCTTATAGTTATGTAGTGAAGAGCTTTAAGATCAGTGTCACTGGGTGGAAATCAAAGTATTAACAAGATACATTTCCTCCATAGGCCCTAGTTGTTGTTAGGTGCCACTCAATAGATTCTACCATTGGTAACACTGCACACCAAAGCATTGCTCGGTCCTGCACCATTCTCACAAATCACAGGTGTGCTTCAGCCTGCTCTTGCAGGCATTCAGTGTGTCAATAAAAAAACTTTTAAGAGTCTTCCCCCTTTTACATAGAAGTTTCATTTACCAAAGACTACTTGTGAGGACTTCTCCAAGTGTTAATCTTTCTAGATAGCATGTGTCTAGATAACATATGAGATATAATACCTAGTGACCTACTTACTGGCAAGAAGCTGCTCTGCAATCCCTACGGCACACAGTTTGAAACCACAAGCTGCTGTATGAGAGAAGGATGGGCAATATCCTCCTGTGCAATTAACTGGCTCTGAAAACCTGCTGGAGGGTCAGACATGGTTGGTTCCAACTCAGCGTTACACAACAATGACATAAATAGTATAGCAAATATAGTGTAATTCTTGTTTGAAGGACTTGGATTCTGGAGCAAAGGTTCTCTTTAAAGGTTTTAGCTGAAAGTCTGGTGTAAACAATTTGGTTATTTATTTTTTTCTTTTTTAAATTTCATTCACAATAGTGTGTAAGCTGATTGGTTGCCTGGATTTACTGGGTTTAGCTAACAACCAGCTGTGGGCTGGAAGCCTCTTGTTTAAGTCAATCAGGACTGGGTGGGCAGGTTTGTATTTAAAAGTCAGATCATTCAGGGAGCTCTTGTAGCCTGATGGAAAGAAGCTGTGCTGCAATTCTAGAGATGTGTGGTTCAAATCCACCAGATACTCTGCTGGAGAAGGAGGGACAATCTCCCGTACCAGTCAGATCTGAATTGATGGTACACATATAAAATAATACTAAAATAACTTTTTAAACGTATTGCTCCTGATTCAGTTTCTTCCCTCTTGGTCATCTGCTGACAGTTGTAAGAAGCTGTGTTGCAATCCTAAACGCACATGGTTAGAGTCGAGATGCTCCTCAGGAGATGGGTACTCTCCTCCTCTGTGGTTTACAGTTTCTGAAAACCTGCTGGAGGGTCAGCTATAAGTTGGTTCTGACTCAACAGCAAACAACAACAGTTTTTATAATTGGTTTGCATACAATAATCCATCCACATTGTGTTTCATTGATGTGCATTGTGTTTTATATAATCATTCACACATATTATGTTCCATATAATTAATTACTGTTGATCAATGCCTTTTGTCACATCATCTCATCAAGTCCCCATTGCACCTGGCCTATTCCTTTACCCTTACATCCATCCACTAATCTCTGCTAACATTGTCATTTTTCCTCCTCTCTTCCCTTCTCCTTCCTCCTTCCCCTTTCCTTTTGAACACTTACACATATCCTGTTCCTATTTGTTAATTGCTATAGCTATATTGCCCTTCTACCCTACCTGATGCAAACTATTTTTCTTCTGAAGTAAACCAGGCGGATGCATTCACCAAGGTTAACTGAGAATGTGAGGTCAGTTCTCTCCTCTGCCGCTTGTTCAGGCTGTGTGTGAAATGTAACTCTGAAACATCCTAAAAATAGCAGCTCATTGTAAGCGTGAAAAGACAAGAGTGAGAGTGTCCTGCTATATCAGGCCTCAGTGACCGGCTGCGCCTGGGGAGGGCTACAAAGCAACAGTCACTGGAGCTGCTCATCTAGTCAGCAGGCAACCGAGAGGGCTGGCCGTGGAACCTGACAGAAGCTGGACGGCAGGGAGACTGTTCAATGCTTGCGTCGCCCAGCATGGCAAAAATCATCCTGAGGCACCTCATAGAGACACCAGTGCGTTACCAGGAGGAGTTTGAAGCTCGAGGCTTGGCTGACTGCAGGCTGGACCATGCTCTGTATGCTCTGCCAGGGCCTACCATTGTGGATCTGGGGAAAGCCAGGGCAGCCCAGGCCCCTCAAGTGGCCTCAGTGACTGAGGAGTCACAGCAAGAAGGTAAAGTCCGCTTTCAGATCCTGCTGGATGTGGTCCAGTTCCTCCCCGAAGATATTATCATTCAGACCTTTGAAGGCTGGCTACTGATTAAAGCTCAACATGGAACCCGAATGGACGAGCATGGCTTTATTTCAAGAAGCTTTACTCGCCAGTATAAGTTGCCAGATGGTATTGAAACCAAAGATTTGTCTGCAATTCTCTGCCATGATGGCATTTTGGTGGTGGAAGTGAAGGATCCAGTTGGAACTGAGTGAAGCCCTGTCGTCCTGTTGAAGAGGAAGATAAGGGTTCTTCCAGTGTCGTCATAGGAGTTTGTATCACCTACCTTGAAAATCATTTACTGTGATTTCTGTGAAGATTAAAATATGTGCCTAGTTACTGGTATGTTGAAGTTATCGTTATTGTTCTAACTCAGAAAGGAATCTTGGGTTAACTATTGAGCCTACCACTTAAGCTAATGCTCTTCTTACATTGACTACTGTGGAGAGTTTCATAGCAGAGAAAACCCAGTTATTTCGTCATGACCTCAACATTGTAAGAATCTCTGCATTTGCAACAATCAACTGCAAAAGAACACTGAGAAAGCAATTCTTATCTATTTTGTAAAAAATTGTTTTGCTGGGGCCAAAAGGGTCTTCTCTTTGTTTAATACTCTTTTATTTTGAATATATTTTAGTTACAATGTAGAGTCTAAAATATAGGGTTTGAGAGTTAAAAGAGTACTTGGAAATCAGGTTTGAAATCTTACTATGTTCACCATATTTTTCATTGTCTTAAACTTCAGTTCAAAATTTCAGGTAGAAAAATCTTTAAGAAAAAAGTTCTAAATGTAGACTACTTACTTTTTCTGTTTCTGTTTTCTAGCTAATGAAAACCTAACAGGAAACATTTCTTATAACAGCATATATTCTGTGGGTACTTCTGAATCATTGCTGTGTATTAACTAAGATGCCTATAAATTAATATTTTAGTGTAGGAAACCGCTTTGAGAGTCTAATTACTGAATGCAGTGAGTTTATCTGTGCTATTTGGAGGCTACTTACGTTTTTAGATTTCAGAAGGCGACAAACTATGATGCATCTGCTGTGGCTGCATCAGCTGCACCTTTAAATAGCCTGGCAGCTGGCAGATGTCTGAGTTTATGCACCGAGGCTGGTTTACACAGCACATCCTACTGTGATTGTTTGTCTTCTGCATGGCTGTGTTGAAATGGGTTAAACCTTGGTGGAGGTTGACAATTTGCTTTAGAAATACTGCTTTCGACAGTTAGCCTGTGACATTCCTGAGACTCCCTCCATCATTCTGCACATACTACATAGTTCTTCAGAGGAAGTAACTTGGTCCCCCTTAGCTGTCATCCAGTGTGAGCTGATAATAAGCCTGATTACAGACCTATGAATAGAAGAGGAATGTGAGCTGTGGGAAAGATCTGGCTAAATGCAGACTGTAACAATGTGTTGCGCCTCCTTGGTATGGTCTACCTTATAGTTGATCAAATGGAAATGTGAAAGGCCCAATGCCACTGAAAATGTAGCCTAAATCAAACAGTTCTAAAGTAATTCTGTAAACAAATATGGGTGGGCTGTTTGCTGTGTAATTACATTCCAAAGGAATTTTTTTTCACTATTATATATCTTTTTTTTGAAATTCTGATTTATTTACAAAGTTTGAACACATTGTTTTTGATGTTTGAAGGTAAATGTTTAGATGAGATTAATGCCTATATGAAGCACCTGGGTGGGGCAAAGCTTTAGTGTGCCTCACTCATAACTGAAGGATTAGATGTTCAAATATTTCCAGAGGTACCTTGAAAGAAAGGCCTGGCAATTGTCCACTGAAAATTTTTTGAGAGTGAGGGGGAAGAAAACCCTTCAAAGCGTCATTTTACTCTGACATGCATGGCTGCCATGAATTAAAGCGAATTTAATGAAAACTAGAAGATTTGTGTACCCAACTTGAGAAAGTTATTGTTGTTAAGTGTCATCGAGTCACTTGCAATCCACAGGGATGCTATGTACAACACCTCTGAACCTTGCTCTATCCTGTGCCAAGCTTATTGTCTCTGACAGACCTACCCTCATCACCCCAGTCATTGAGTCAATCCGTCTCATCCAGGGTCTTCCTCTCATGCACTGTTCTTCCACCCTACCAAGCATGATGTTCCTCTCCAAGGACTGGTCACTCCTTGTAACATGCCTACAGTATGTCAAAAGGAGCTTCAGAATCCTTGCCTCCAAGGGAGTTTATTTAACAAAGTAACCATCACATCAATTTTCCTGTGTAACAAAATTAGGAATGATAAACAAGATTCTAATATGTTCTAATATGCAGTAGGTTATGCGTTGGGCTGCTGACTGAAAGGTTGGTTGTTTAAAACCATCAGCTGCCCTTCAGGAGAAAGGTGAGGTAGATTTATAGCCTTAAAGTTTAACAGGACAGCAAGTAATAAATGCTGGAGATGATATGGAGAGATAGGAACCCTTATACACTGTTGGTGGAATTGTGAAATGGTACAACCACTCTGAAAGACAGTTTGGTGTTTTCTCAAAAAGCTGAACATAGAAATTCCATATTGTCCAGTTATTATTCAATTGCATGGAATATATCCCAAGAAAATGAGAACTGAGGCACAAATGGAGACTTGTATACCAATGTACAATGTCCCATAGCAAGAACATGGAAATAGCCCAAATATCCAACCACAATCGAATGGATTGAGAAATTATGGTACATACATATGATGGAATACTATGCAACATACAGGAGAAATTATTTTGTAAATCACTAACTTAAGAGAGACTGGAGAGTATTATGCTAAGTTAGCTAACTCTGTCTTGTAAGGACAAATTATAAGATCATTATTTTAGAAATAGGTAGTAAAATGTGCATGAGGATGTAAAGGGGGTGAGGACAGAGTTGAGGATGGGTGGGGTGCTGTATAATTTTATGGGTGGAGGAAGGGTTGGGTTAAGGAAATGAGAAAGATCTGGTGTGGGGAAAAAAAACAAAACAGCAAACTGTATACTGAATTTGTGAGTAAGCCAGAATAAAAGAAAATGAGAGAGAGAGAGAGAAGGATTTACAGCGTTGAAAACCCAATTTACAATTGTCATGAATTGGAACCAACTCACTGACAGTGGATTTGTAATACCATTTGTGTGATATTAGATTATTTTTCTTTTGCACTGATTGGTACAATATTATGAAACAAATTGTGCTTGAGAAACAAAGAAAACTCTAATTTGCCCTTAATCTTTAAGATGAGATCCTGTTTCTGGGGATCTTTCAGAATTAAAACTATTACCACAAGGAGCCATTGGGAGGGCTGTGTTTCTTTAAAAAATTAAAATAAAATAATGCACCTCTCTTCAGTATTTGCCTTTTAAAAGACAATTTTAAAAATACATTTAAAATAAGTGCTTATTTTGACCTTATATTAGAAAATACAACAAAAGTGTTACAAGAATTCTAGTAGCCTACTAGGTAAGAAATTGTGCTATCAACCCAAAACCAGGTGGTTCTAAATCATCAGCTGCTCTACAGGAGAAAAATGGGCAATCTCCTCCTATGTGATTTACAGCTTCTGAAAATCTATTGAAAAGTCAGCTGATTTGATTCTGACTCAACGGTACATAACAATATAGAGAAAATGAAACTAAACTGTTAAGCTTGAGGCAGTAGTTGTTATTAGATGTTGTCAAGTCAACTACAGCTTACAGTGACCCTATGAATGCAAACCTTGCTCTATCCTGCACCATCCCCACATGTCTGCCAATCCAGACCTTCTTGGCTTTTGCCTCATCTCTGAGCCCAAGCAGATTGACAATCATTCTAATTTCTAGCTGGGGTTAGTGAGTTGAACGCACCAGTGGAGATCAAAGACAAGAAACAGAGGAGTAGTGAACAGGATACTTCTTCCCTAACTCCACCCTGCTGCAGACTGAGTCTCTGGCAGGAGCTGCTCCACTTCAGCTCTGGAGTCATGGCTGCTCCTCCCCAGCTCCCACTCTCACAGGGCTCCAGTACTGGGACACGGTTTCTTCCTTTGGAAGAAGGGATGATGCTTTCTGCTCTTTCTTATCTCTTTCACTTCACTGCTCTTACAGATACACTTTCCTCTGCTCAAGGCAGCTCTGATTGTTTAGCCTGTAATGAGCTGAGCTATTAATCTTAAGGTCTTGACTTTGGAGGTTTGAATCCACCAGTGGCTCCAGCTAGAATGACAGCATTCTACTCCCATTGTGATTTACACCCTCAAAATCCCAACGGAGAGTCCCTAGGAGTTGGAACTATCTTGATGTCAATGATCCTTCAGTAAGCAGTCCCTTCATTAAAGTCTTTTGAGGTGATGGAATAATTTTCCCTGTCAGCTGGAATCAGTTTCCTAGTTGCTTGACTTTTCCCCTTTGATAAAATACTGTTGCTGTTACAAACAATCAAATCAGAACAGATCCCTAGCTGACCCTCCAATGGGTTTTCAGAGGCTGTAAATCATCTGAGAGGAGACTGCCCATCTTTTTCCCTCAGAGCTGCTGGAGGATTCAAACCTTTACTTTGGCAGCATAACTCCTTACCACTAGCATACCTGAATGATGTATAATTTTTTGTAAAAAAGTCATTTTAACCATTCTTAAGCATTAATTGCATTCATCATGTTATACAATCACCATCATTATCTTTTCCAAAAGTTATTTCAGTACTCCAAACAAATTGGTAACCTTTAGACAACAAAAGCTGCTCATTCATTCCTCTCAGTCCTTTGTAATGATTAGTAAAATGATGCCTCTCTACATTTGTCTAGCATAGTGTAAGTCACATCAAACCATAAATATATGTACTTTTTTTGGTCTTATATTTCCTGTAGCATAATCTTTTCCAGGTTCACATTTTAATGCTTTAACTAACTGCCCATTTTCTACAGTATCTGTACCATTTTATATTTCCACAAGCAGTTGACAAGGGCTTCCATTTTTCTATATCCTCACCACCATTTATTATCTGTGACAGCAGTGAACTTGAGGTAGTGTTTTGCTTGTTGTTTCTGGTTTTTAAGTCCTGAGGAAGCTGGGCAATGAATTGTTGTTGTTGAGTGCTGTGGAGTCGTAGGCGACTCATAGCGACCCTATGAATGAAAGTCCTCGACTTGGGTGACTTTCATCCTTTCTCCAGGTTCATAGGGTTTCTGGAGGCAAGCTATTTACGGAAGTGGATGCCACTCCTGCTTCCAAGCTTGGGACAATGAATTAGGAAAGAA